GCGCGTTCCCCGGTAAGCTCAGGGCGCGCTGTCGGCTGCCGCGCAGGCGCGGCGCTGGGTGGTTCGCAGCCGCCAGGCATCCTCAGATTCCTTGTCACACGGCGTGTGAGCTTGAAGATGAACCGTTTAGCCGCGCACGTAATGAAATGCGTGTTTATTCCCCTCCGCGGCTCCAGACATCAGCCGGGCGTTCATCCTCCCAGGCTGGGGCACCGCCGTCTCCTCCGCGGCGCGGCCGAGCGGAACTGGAGGCTACGTTTCTAAAAAAAAAAAAACCAAAAAGGAGCGGGACTTGTCTAGAGCAGCTGCTCCAGCGGCTGAGCCGGGCTTGGTTGCCTTGCCCGGTTGGCCTTGAAGGCGCGGATTAGGCGAGCGATGAGCCATTGAGTTCCGTAACGTCCACCTCGCCCCGACCCAGCTCAGCCCAGGCGTCCCCGTGCCGGGCTCCCGCTTTCGGACGTTCCTCGGAGAAGCGCTCGGAGGGGGTTTTTTTCCTTCAATTGTTTTAATTAAAGGGCGCTTCAACGCGCGCTCGGCCACGAGTTACTCACTTGGGTCCCGCAGTCCCTCATCTCGCAGCAGACCCGGGGATATCGATGGAAAGCATAAATCCCAGCTGCTGCTCAGAAGCTTTGTATGGGGTTTCGGCTCAAAAGAGCACCATTACCTTTAGCTGTCACGGATCTGTACGCTTGATCGATAAACTTCAAATATTATTAGAGGTGGAGGCTTCAGAGCTTTGCTCTGTTCTTTGGAGGGAGACGAGGATAAATCTGCCTTAAAAATTGACTTGCGTTTGCTCTCTCAGTCTTCCTGGCAAAACGCGTTTCTCTCCGGTGTCTGGGCAGCTGCAGGCGGGGCAGATTTATAGGCCATGTGCTTCTTGTAGTGAAAGATTTAAATGGTAAATCCTTCACATCTGACTTCACAAATCATGTAAAGTTAAAAGATTTTTACCGTTTCTGTTGCTGCTGTGCTTAAATTGTAAGGTAGGGCCAGTAAATCATTTTAATGGAGGTGTCGCGCTTGACTCGATAAAAAAAAAGCTACAATGGTTTAGCTTCCATTCCAAACTGTTAATGTATTAATCAACGGGAGAATAATTGGGTTTCGCTACGTCATAAATCTCGCTTGCCATTAGGATTGCAGCGAGGGTTGATGTAGCGGCGTTCTTCAATTAAAATTGTTTACACTGCTGTACATCCATTTTACATGGCCGTAGCTCATGCGGGGTTCCTTCTGGAGCTGTTCCTCCGCCCAGCAAGTCGTTCCTCTCCCGGGTGACGGCGTCCTGAGGGAGAGGCGCTTGTACAAGAAAACTAATTGCACGGCGAGGCGTTAAAGAAATGAAATAAAGCAGTCGGAGGCGACGTGCGATGGCTGCTCGCTGTCTGCTTTCGGAGAGGCTCGCTGGTAGCTCGGGGCAGGAGATCCGTGTCTGCGGACAGCGCGCGCGGCACGGCACGGCAAAGGCCGCGTTGGATGGCGTCATCTCCTTGGCCTGGGGAGAGGATGGCGGGAAGCGCGTTGGGTTGGGGTTTGGTCGAGGAGGTTTTGGGCTGACGTCGACGTGGTTTTGCCGTTTCTCCAGAGCCAGCGTTTCCCGTTCCCGTGCTGTGCTGCAGTCCCCCGTGCCCCGTCCCCCAGGGAAGCTGAACGCTGGGGAGCGTTCCAGGGAGAGTTCCCAAAAGACGTGCCCGCCAGCAGCTCCTCCCCTCCCCTCCTCTCCCTCTCCCGGCTGTCTGTAGTCGTAGCGCTGCTGCTTGTAGCAGAAAACGCCTCGCAAGTCGAGCCGCCAGATCAGTTCGGCTTTGGGCGAGGGTCCTCTGCCCGAACTCATCTGCCTAGATAGCTCCGTGCTTCGCCCCCCTCCTCCTCCTCCCGAGAGCACAAGGGTGGCGCTGCCCGTCCCGAGGGCGGCTGCAGCCGAACCCTGCGAGTGCATCCTAACGAGTCCCCAATTCTTATTCCTCTTCTGATCTCAACAGATTCTCGTGCAGGTGAGGAAGGGGCAATACGGAGCGTGGACCATGCGGTGGTCGGCGGCGTCGTGGCCGTGGTCGTGTTTGCCATGCTCTGCCTGCTCATCATTTTAGGGCGATATTTTGCCAGACATAAAGGTAAGACAGAGGCCGAAACCGGAAGGCGCAGGGCCTCGGCGCGCGGGTCCCCTCGCTCGCGACGGCGTTCTGCCCGGTGGGAGA